TTTCACCTAAAACTGAAGGCAGCCATTTTGAGACAGTGAGCAGCATTCGTAAACCTTCTTGAGGCAGACTCAATGATAAGCCCTCAATCTTTGATGGTATCTTATAGAACAGTTATATTCCTCTGTGGTTTTTAAGCTGGAGACTGCATCTTTCTGTACTCTGTCTACTTTCATCTCTTCTAAGTGAGTCACCAAATTTAGGAGACATTTGCAGATAATCAGAAACATCTACAAAGAATGATGATCAAAGAAAGGGGATCAGGAGGTGGGAGCCATCGTGCCTGACTCAGAGACCGTAGAGGCAACACTCAGCAGCAGACCCCCACTGTGCAGAAGAGAAACAGAACGGATGTGGAAGATCAAAATATAGGACAGAACTGTCAGAACAGTGTCATTTTTAAGCAGGAAGAAAGTTGTTCAATATCTTGAGCGGTTTATAACCTCTTAAGCTGAAAGAAATATATTTGGCTCTGTATTTTGCATGAATTCCTGATCTTTAAGAAGCCTCCATTTGCTTTTCCAACCTTACCATGAAAATAACAAAATCAGATTTTGTGTAGTTTTTTTCTTGAAGAATCTGAAATCCTCATTTTGCTCATTTCCAATATTTATATGCCTAAGTAGTTATTGAAAAGGCATCTCAAAGGGATTGTTCTTACGTCTCAGCCAAGTTTGCATCTAAAACATATTTACTGCAGATCTGAGCCAGGAAGCATCAAACATCCACTTGTTGAGACAACTTGTAAAAAGACTGAACATTTCGTGCAAAGGGAGCAGGAAATCCCTTCCAGAGAAAAGGTCTTATGCCTGCATGTATCCTAGCAGGGCTCTAAGGCAGATAAATCCTAAATTGTGACTAATAGAGCTTATTAAAAACTCTGTTTTAACTGACATCTTCTTGGTTTTAAAAGTTTGTTGAAGAAGCTAGGAAATTTACAAATTCATCTGGGCATATATGCAAAAGCTGCATGAAATAAGCCTGCATATGTCAGACAAGAAGCTAACTTATGGACACTTTTGTCAGATATTTAAATGAGATTTACATGCAATTAAAGTGACTGAGGATTCACACATATCCAATTCAAAATCTTACATAGAAGTCAAGTGAGTAATACTGCATGACACTCCTTAAAAACCTGGAAAAAGATTCATTCTTAATGTTTTCAAAATACACTTTTGCACAATGAAAATGAATCAATTTTTTCTTTGGATAGAAGCAAGCAACGCTCTTCACACTTTTAAACAAATGCATAACTTACAGAACAATTTTCATGATATTATGTTGTGTAGATATTATATCCACTTCCTTATATCTGCAATCCCAATGAAGCACCTAATCTTTTTATAAAAAGGTGTGTGGCATTACACCCTATAGAGATTGACTAAGTACTACCTACTACAGGTTAATGCACCGTTATGATCTTTATTTGCAGCTTTTTTGGAAGGCGAGACAATGCATAAAAGAACATGACTACAGCATTTCAAGCTGTACCTCTATGCTACAAATTGTGACATTTATATTTGAACCCAAAGCAAGGTTTTCCCTCAGCCTTCATATTGAGACTTTTGTTGCAACACACACAAACACACACATATGAACACATCTCCCTCTCTCTAAGGTTATTTTGCGTCATATGTTTTCAGTCACACAGAAAGTGTTTAAGGAAAAACAGGAAACAGACATTATTACTGACAGCCTATTTGACTCCAGAGTGGAATTCTACTTTCATTGCACAATCTTATTTAACTTTTATTATCTGACTGCTGTAGCATCCATGTTGACCACTCCTGAAACAATCTGGGTTGCAGATATGCCACAATCTTCAATTTATGATCTCTCTTCAACTGCCTTGCAACTCTCTCCTCTTGAGGTCCTGACCTCTCTCCCTTCCTTCTCCTCTAGTCAGTTACAGTATTACCTTTGCCTTTTCATTCACCGAACAACCATTCACTAAAAGTTTCATTCAACAAATAACAAATATTTTTGGCATTTATTTTCTCCCTTACTAATGGAAAATCTGTGTGCACTGTGAGGCAGTTGCTGAAAGATTGCCAGCATAAGCAAATGATTGTCCACCGTAATAAAAACTGAATGCACATTGGAAAAAACACTATCTACAGTCAATGTGGCCCCTGAACAACTAAGCTGCGTGACCCAGCTTATTTCTCCAAACAGAAACACAGATAGAGGGCTCAGGGGCAAAGCATAAAGCAAGTATACAAGTGGTCAGAAAGCACCGGTCTCCTGGTGCCAAGCAGAGAGAACTTTATTGGCTTGGATGATTGCCATTATGAGAGAATGCACAGCCAGAAAGTTCCAACCAAGCAGTTTTATGCTACCATAGTTGCCCATGTGTGATGTTATAACCAAGTGTCACATGCGGAAATTAATGGCATTTATGCAAGCACATACACAGCAAAAAGTTTCTGCTGTGAGCACATATGTATCCACGTTGTGCTGCTCCATCCAGCTTTGCCTTTTAATCAAAGAAAGCCAAGGAAAGTAGCTAGCGCTGTTTCACATGGCAAATTAGGAGAAACCACAGAAAAGTATATGAACCCCCCCTTCCCCCCCAACCCAAATCTGCATAGCCACAGTGCAAGTGGAGAATACAGACCAAACCTCTCTCCCGCAGTCATTTTATCCCAGGTCCTTCAGCCATCTCACGCCAGCAGGCTGGTTTTGCTGAAACACCCTGAGCCTCCTTCCTCAACAGCTACCACCAGCATCTATTCCAGCAGTCTGAAGAGGGAATGAGGTGGGATAAAAGGCCATTTTACCAGCCCTGCCTAGTTTCTGCTCATTTGCTCTGGCGCATCAACATCTTGAATTTAATTGTTGTTCACTAGTTCATCCAGAGGTAAGAGGCTGAGCTGATTTAAGAGAGAGATATAATTAAGGGCTCTTCCTCTACCTCAGCAGAAAATCACTACAATGATTAATTCAGGTAATCAGAGATGGATAGAATCCAGTAGTCACACCAAACACCTGGTAAAGCTGCTCTGTAACAGGGTGTGGCTCGAACATCTTGCAAAACAACTTCAGTATCACTGACCTTGTTAGTAAACAACTAACCATCAGCTTACACAAGACATATTGTGTGGCTTACATACAGTACAGAACAGGATATACTTTTGCAATGTTTTATTTTGTTCCACCAAGCAGTATAGACCAAGTGTCTGTGGTGATAAATCTGCTGTTCCATTCAGGCCACTGCTGATACAGAGCTTCTTCTTCCACATCAAAGTCTTAACAGATCTCAAACTCATTATTGCGCAGATATGGACATGCACACATTTCGACCAATTTTTCTTTGTCCACTGACTCAGTGAGAACCACACAGACCTGCATCCTATTCTGTAGGATAAGAGCCAACTCAAGACCTGGCTCTTTAGGCAGGCTTTCCCTCCTGTCAATGCCTAATTTATTTGCTATCTTCAACTGTATTAATGTTGTTGTTTTATTTTATTATTCTTGAGTGTTAGCCACCCAGAGCAGACTTTGGTCTAGATGGGCAGGATATAAATTAAATAAATAAATAATAACTCTCCCACTCCCCGACTCAAAAGAACTGCTATAACATGTTATTAAGAAATAAGCATTATCTTTACTATAGAAACTGAAACTCCACTCTCCAAGTAAAAGATTGACCATTTGGGAATTTCTTGAACCTAGAAGAACGTAGAAATGCATAGACACACATTAAGTCAATAAGCATACCTCTCGCTACTTTGACAATGGGTTTCACATATCCGGAACATGTAATTAAGAATCAGAGTGATGGAAAGGGTACAAGCTTGTGAAGAAGTCTTAAGGGAAGAGACCAGTGGCAGAAATAGCACTCAGAAATCAATGTCTGCACTGGCTAGCACATTGCACAGTACATCAACAGTACTAGAAGATCACCCTACAGCACCACTGTAGTGGCTTTTGCCTCATTAAAACACACGGTGCACTGATGCATCAGTATAACAAGTAGCATCAAAGTAAGATGCAATTGCTCAAGTCAGATCTCAGGGACCTAACAGAAGCTGAATAGTAGCAACTGTGAAAATTATCCAAGTCTTTCTTGATCTGGTGCCCTGTTGATGCATTACAGACAGCTGTCCAACTCCCAGGTTACCTTTTCTCTAGTTTTAAGCTATGATTTCAAAACTTTCTAGTACTAATTAAAACATGAACAGCAAGATTTAAAATCAACAAAACAGACAAAAGGACACTCAAACCTGTATGCCACAAATAGTGGTAGTTGCAACAAAGTCCCACAGACACTACAGAATTGAGTTTGCAGCTCCTTACTTGCATGAGCTTTATAGACAAGAACTTATAACCCTACAGACACTTATTAGGAATACAAGTTAAGATAGTTAGATTTATCCCTGCACAAAGTGTACAAGATTGTAATGCATGAATTGTGAATTAGAACCTCTAAGTTCAGATTTCACTTCTGATATCCACTCAGTAATCTCACATAACACATTTCTGAATAGCAGTGGCAATACAATCCATACATGTTGCAGCAACCCTATGAAAGTTACTGAGATTATTCTATACAGTACTTTGAAATTTAACCCACTGTGTAACTACTACTATCATAATCACTGGTGCTTTGAGTTTAGGTAGGAGAAATCAGCTCAAATAAAATCATGGCAGGCCACATTATAGATGTGGTATCTCTTCTTCTGTACTTTGTCCTCTCGCCTGAAAGCCAAACAGATACCTAGAAAACCATTTAAACTTACCTTATTGTAATAGAAGACAAATGGGATGCCAAAGGACAATAACTAGGAGCCATGGGGAGAAGGATACATTCTACATTTTGCCAACTCTTGTCAGATTCTACTATTATGTGTAGAAAGATATAATTCAGTCATTCCATATAGACATACCACTGGGAATACACAGTTCATAATATCAAAACACACACACCCCAGTAATAAGGCTGGTGTAATATATTACTGATTTATAACTAATTGCTTCACAAGATAAGAAATCTCACCTGGCAGGTAGCACTTTTCCACAGCTGTAGGATGGCCAGTCTAAATCTCTCTCATGGGGGAGGGGGGGTCTCTTGGCACCCCCCTCCCCCCTCAAAGACTCCACCTTGAAGAATCAGTGCAGGGGGGCAAACCTGAATAGGTGTTTTTTTTCAACTGCCTGTCCAATTCCCCTTATGCTGGAAAGCAGGGCAAAATATGCCTATAGCCCCGGCACTACTACAGAGGAAAGCAGCTTCGTCTTCTGATCCCAGGATAATTCTTCTCAAGTCTTTAAGGTTCTTGCAGAATCTTCCATCTCATTGAGAGGATGTCCGGCTTTCGCTACTAACCATCTAGGCTGCTCAAGAAAAGCCATGAGCCACAATACTCCATCTCTGCCAATTCCAATTGTGTTTCTCAGAGAATATTACAGGACTTCAATTTCACATCTGTCAGTGCAGAATTTTTTTTTCAAAACTGTCTCACAATAGTTTTCTGCTGGATCTAAATCATCCTGACAGGACTGCTTGCAAGAAGACAGTACAGGACACTGCGAGTTGTTCTGATCTCAATCACCTCGTCCCTGCATAGTACATAAATGTGGATTAGAAACCATATTGTAATATTTGAGCAAATCATCCCTACACAACCTCAATCATTCTTGCAAATATTACCTAGATTATCATTAATCTTAGAACTTTCCTTTGACCAACATAATTGCTTCACTCATACTGAGATGCATAGTGGAGCCACTTCCTGCAATGCCAACCCCTCTCCCCAGGAAATAAAACAGTTCATCCTCACTATAGATGTAGCATCCCAACTAGGAGCACAAAGTAATTCCCCCACATGCAACCTTCTTCCTGAAAGAAAAGCAGCAGCAGCAATACTGTGTATCACTCACATCCCTTCTTCCCAAAATGTACATGCATAAAAGAGAGAGGTGCATTTGCAAACACTAAAGCAGGAAAAGTTTTCTACTGAAGTTCTTGGAACCTGCTAGTAGTCGAAGAGGACGACAATACTAGACTATACACAGTAAGGATGCAGACCCAGTATAAGGAAGCCTCTTATGTTGCCCTATAAATTACTAATAAAGCACTGTTTACATAGGGACACCAACAGGAGACGTAAGAAGTCTCTTCACACAAGTCTTTTAAAAAATAATTGGAAAGACCTTTCCTTATTCCTCAGCCCCTCTAAAGGCCTCTTCCTTTCCCCTCCCCTCACTAGATATTAAGCTTTATTACATACAATAATAAATATAACATGGAGCTGATGAGGGCTGAGCTTCCCCCATTCCCACGTCGCTCGCTCGGCCACCCCCCGTTATCCTCCATCTTCCTCAGCAGCTCCCTCCCTCTCGGCTCCCTGCTTTCCTTTCCTCCTTCAAACGGGGGGCC